AATTGATAAAGAAAAAATTATCTGAGCTACAAGAAGACATAGTAACACAATAGTGACAAGAGATTTCAATATCCATCTCTCAGTTTTGGCTAAGCCTAACAAAGATAAACACAAAGGAAAATATGGAACCAAACAAATTACTGTTAAAAGATGTATGTCATCTTCTAATGGGACAGAAAAAGAATATGCATATTTCTCAGCACCAATGAAACTTTAACATAAGCCAAACATCTATTAGTGCACAAAGATATAACAAACAAGTGTAAAAAGACAGAAATAGTTAATACATCCATTATAGATCATAATGTAATAAAAATACAAATTGTTTCAGGAACCACAAATAAAAGATATATTTCCAAATGGAGACTTAACAGTGAAATTCTAAATAATGAGTGGATTAAAGAAGAAATCACTGAAACAATAACTACATAAAAGAAAAAGGTAATGATGAACGATATACCAACATTTCTGTGATGTAGCTAAAAAACTACTGTCTTCAGAAGGAAATCATGTCCTTACAAATATACATTAACAAAAGAGAAAAAGAGAAGATTAATTATCTGAATGTGCATTTAAAAAAAACTAGAAATCCAACAAATAAAAAAATAAGCAAAATAAAGTGGAGATATCAAAAATTAGGTGGAAAATAGATACATTGAAAACAAAAAAGATGGCAAAGAATTGGAAACTGAGAGGATGCCCATCAATTGGGGAATGGCTGAGCAAGTTGTGGTATATGAATATAATGGAATACTATTGTGCTATAAGAAATGATGAACTGGCTGACTTCAGAAAAACCTGGAAAGACTTGTATGGTCTGATGCTGAGTGAAATGAGCAGGACCAAGAGAACATTGTACACAATAACAGCCATGTTGTATGGTGACTAATATTGATAAAATTAACCCTTCCAAGCAATACAAGGATCTAAGACATCTCCAGAGGCCTCGTGTTGGAAAATGCTATCCATGTCCAAAGAAAGAACTATGGAAGTTGAATTGCTATTTTTTTTCTTCTGTTGAGTTTTGTTTCCTCCTTCTGATGGTTCCTCCTATTGGTTTTAATTTTTACTTACAACACCACTAATGTGAAAATATGTTTAATAGGAATGTAAATGTATAGCCTATATCAGACTGTGCACTATCTTGGGGAAGGTGGTGGGGAGAAAGGGGGAGAAAAATTTTAAACTCAAAAACATATGGAAGTGATTATTGATAAATCAAAATAAATTAATAAAATTAAAACAAACAAAAAAAGAAAACAAAAAAGACCTAGAAATGATAACAAAAACTAAAAACTGGCTCTGTTAAAAGACTAATAAAATTGATAAACCTTTAGATAATCTGATTTAAAAGAAGAGAGCAGAAACTCAAATCAATAAAATAGCAAATGAACAAAGTGAAACAACACCAAAATAGAATAAAAAGAGTAATTAGAACATATTAGACACAACTATAAGCTAACAAAACTAAGAACACAAAATATATGAAAGAAACATTCAAAAATATAAAATACTCAAAGCTATCAAAAGACCAGATATAGATCTTAAGTAACCCAATCCCAAAAAAGGAAATAGACCCAACTATAAAGGAACTACCCAAGGGAAAAAAAAACTATTAATCTTGATGGATTCACAGTAGAATTCTATCAATCTTTTAAAGAACATTTGGTGCCTATAATTCACAAATTATTTCAAAAATTGAGAAAGAACCCAACTTGAAACCTTCTTTGAGACAAATAGTCCTAATGCCTAAATCAAGCAAAGATAAAACATAAAAAGAAAGCTATAGGCAATATCATTAATGAAAATTGACTCAGAAATTTTAAACAAAATCCTGTCAAACAGACTACAGTGATGTGTTCAAGAAATCATTCATTATGACCAAGTGGGATTTATACTAGGGATACAAAGATGCAACATTGGGAAAACTATCAATATATTTGATCATATTGAAAACCAAAACATCCAAAGCCACATGATCATTTCAGTGGATCCAGAAAAAGCCTTTGACAAAGTATGCTTTTATGCTAATAATAAAATATAGCCATAGAGTGACCTCTTAAAAACATATATAAAAAGCTTCTATCTAAAACCAAGACCAAACATCATATGCAATGGGAGTATACCAGAATTTTTTCCAATAAATACAGGAGTGAAGCATGAAGGCCCACTGTTCCAACTATTATTTGATGTAGTTCTAGAAATTCTAACAATAGCAATAAAACAAGAGAAAGAAATCAAAGGCATGAAGATAGGCAGAGAGGAGATAAAACTATCCTTATTTGCTGACAGTATTATGGTTTGCTTGGAAAATCCTAGGGAATCAGTAAAGATACTAAGTGAGACGATAGCTTCAGAAAAGTTGGAAACTACAAAATAAATCCTCAAAATCTAACAATGTTTCTATATAACAATAACAAAACACAAGAAGCAGTAATAGAAAGGGAAATCCCATTCTAAGTAAATACAGAAAGCGTAAAATACCTAGGGACTGACCTACCAAAGCACACAAAAGGCTTTAAAGATTATGGATTACAAAGTGCTCCCTAAAGAAATAAAAAACAACTTAAATAGCTGGAAGAATATTCAGTGCTTATGCCAATTCCATGCCCATATAATAAAAATAACATTACTACTGAAATTAACACTTTTAATACTGTACTAATCAAATTACCAAGGGGATATTTTATAGAACTTAATAAAATACTAATACAATTCATTTGGAAAAACAAAAGATCTAGAATATCAAGGGAATTCATTAAAAGACATAGGGACAAAGGAGGAATAGCACTTCCAGAACACAAACTATACTGTAAAGCAGCAGTCTTCAAAACCATCTGGTATTGGTTTAAAAATAGTGATAAATCAAGGAACAGACTAGATGAGAAAATTAGAAACAATAAAACTCAATAAACCAATGTTTGATGAAGTGAAAAACATAAATTACCTAGGGAAAAAACTCCTTATCTGATAAAAACTGGGAAAATTGGAAAGCAGTCTTTCAAAAATTAGGCCTAAACAACATCTTACACTGTATTCTACAGTATATTCAAATAGATATGCAACCTTAATATTAAGAATCATACTATTTTAAAAAACCTAGAAGAGAAATGTATCATATACCTCTTAGAGGTATGGGTAGGAGATATATATATATATACACACACACATATATGTATGTATGTATACATATTTTTTTTTACCAAATAAGAGAAAGAGGCAAGTATAAAAGATAAAATAAATAACTTCCATTACTTGAAACTGGAAAGGTTCTGCATAGACAAATTAATGCAGGAGATAAAAAGGAAAGTTGGTTGAATAGAATAAAATCTTTGAATCAAATTTCTATGATAAGGGTTTAGTATACAAGAAGTATAAACAATTTAGATAAATAGATGGAAAGACAGACAGAGAGAGCTAGATATATAGATGATAGCCATTGCCCAGTAGGTAAGTGGTCTAAGGTTATGAACAAGCAGTTCTCAAAAGAACTGCAAAGTATTCACAACCATATCACCGAATCCTCCAAATCACTAGTAATAAGAGAAATGTAAATCAAAACAACCTTGAGTTTTCATCTCGTATCCTGCAAATTGACAAAAATGATCCCAAAATGACAATAGTCAGTGTTGGAGGTGTTGTGGAATGATAAGGCACATCATAGCTATACATATATGTATAGATAGCTATATATGCAACACTGGGAAAAGAATATATTTTCAATATATTCAATATAACATATACAATAGCATTCTCTCCCCCCCATATATATATACATATATATGTATAGCAAGTCACTTCACCTCTGTTTGCCTCAGTTTCCTCACCTGTAAAAGGGTAACAATAATAACACCTACTTCCCAGAGTTGTTGTTAGGATCAAATGAGATAATAATTATAATGTGCTTAGCACTGTGAATGCTATAAACTGTAGCTATTATTTATTATTATTACATTGTTGGTAGAGGTGTGAAATGGTACAACCACTTTGGAAAGCAATTTGGAATTATGCAAATAAAATGACTAAAATGCCCATGGAACCAGAGACTCCATTACTGGGTTTATACTCTAAGGAAGCCATTGATAAGAAGAAAGTCTCCACATTAGAAGCGCTTTTTGGGATAGCTAAGAAATGCAGAATAGATGCCCATCAATTGGGGAATGGCTAAACAAAATGTGATACATGAATGTAATGGAATATTATTGTGCTGTAAGAAATGGTGAATGTGATGAATACAGAGAAGCAATATTTGAACAATGAGTACAAAGATCCACCCATATTTCTTTTTTTTTTTTTTGTGAGGCAATTGAGGTTAAGTGACTTGCCCAGAGTCACACAGCTAGTAAGTATCAAGTATTAGAGGCTGGATTCAAACTCAGGTCCTCCTGACTCCAAGGCTGAAGCTCTGCTGCGCCACCTAGCTGCCCCAATTTTTTTTCCACTCATATTTCTTGGTAAGGCTTGGCTAGGATTATCTTGGTTTAGTTTAGTTTAAGATTTAGTTTAGGATTATCTTGGTCCATATATGTTGATGGGGGGACTTAGGAGGGGGTACCTGTAAAATTAGGGTAATGTCTATCTGATTTACCTCATAAGACTGTTTTGAGATTTAAATGAGATAATGCACAGTAAAACACTATGTAAATGCTAATTATTAGCATTATTATCACAAATGTGGTCTATTTTTAGACCCTGCCACTGGCGGAGGTCACTTGGATTAAGATATAGCACTACAGATTCAAAACTGTTAACTTGCAGCAGCTACACACTCCTTAAGGGAAAAAGTTAAGTGTAGGTAAGAGACACTCCTTTCAAGTCATGTGGAGAAGGTGTGACCTTAGGACTCTTTCCTGGCAGCAGCCCAAGCAAGCCCTGGGGCTGGCATATTGGGGTAATCCCTGCCCTTTCCAGCTTCCACCAAATTAAAGGTCCTTTGCCCCATTCTACCTTTTAAGTAGGCAGAGAACCATTTGTCAGCACACTAGGCAGAGACAGTGGACTGAGGTGACTCATTTCTGAATAGTAAGAAATGCTTGAAAAGATTCCCCATTCACATTTAGGTGATGGAACAATCATTTGCTGGCTGGCAGTTGTAATTACTCTCTACTGCAGGTAGGTAACCGTTCCAAAATCCAAACTAATAGGATTACTGGTTACTGACTGGCTTTTGGAACAAGTCATTTTCAGATAAGTAGCACAGCATGTTCAGTGACCTTTCAACCTTGGGTAAATTCCTTCCTGCACAGGTCCTCATGAAGGCTAGGCACTGTAGTAACAACAGTATTTTTTCTCTACTGTGATTGTTTTAAAATAAGACTAGCAGTTCGTGCATGGGGAAATTTCATGAGCTTGCCTTTTTCATTATCTCTCAAACATTCAAACACTCAGGCAGTTGGTGCTATTTTACTCACCAAGAGTGACCCACCAAAGTTTTAGCAAGATGGTAAAGAGAGAAGCAGTGTTTCATAGTGGGGAGAAAACACACTGGATTTGGAAATAGGCAGATCCTGTTAAGGCCCCAGCTATACTACTTACTATCACCAAATGCTGACATTCAGTAGCAGAAAGTGGGACAAAGGGCATTTCTCTAATTATTAGTCATTTAGAGCATTTTTTCATATGGCTATTGATAGCTTTGATTTCTTCATCTGGAACTTCTATTCATATCCTTTTACCATTTATCAATTGGAGAATGGCTCTTATTCTTGCAAATTTGACTCAGTTCCTTATATATTTTAGAAGCATGACCTTTATCAGAAAAACTTGCTGCAAAGATTTTTTCCCCAGTCTCTTGCCTTTCTTCTAATTTCAGCTTCATTGTTTTGAGCCTGTCTCTTATTTGGTTGTGAACTTTCCCCCATCTATAGCCCTGATGGGTAATTTCTTCCATGTTCCACTAATTTGCCTATTGTATCACTCTTTATGTCTGAATGATGTGCCCCAACAAGTTTTGTTATTATTTTTTCCCTATAAAGTAATTCTTTGGTAGTTTCAATGATATCTTAATAACCAAAACTAATGGTCTTTTTTCAGTCTTCATCCTTCTTGACCTATCTGCAAGCTTTTTACGCAACAGATCAGCTCTCCTTCATACTCTCTTCTCTCTGAGTTTTCATGACATTGCTGTCTCCTGGTTCTCCTTCTACCTATCTGACCTCTCCTCACTCTCCTTTGCTGGGTCTTCACACAGGTCACTCCTGCTAACCATTGAGTGTCTCATACAGCTCTGTCTTGGGCCCTCTTCTCTTCTTGGTGATCTCATCAGCTCCCATGGATTCAATTATCATCTCTATGCTAGTGATTTGAGAATTTACTTATCTAGCCTTAATTTCTCCACTGACCTCCAATCTTGCATCATCAGCATCCTATTATACATCTCAAACTGGATATCTTGTAGACATCGTAGACTCCAATGTCCAAAATGTCCAAAACTGAACTCATATTTTCTCCTCACATCTCCCTTTCTAAACTTCCATATTACTATTGGGGCACCACTACCCTCTCAGTCTCTAGGACTCCCCCATAGCCAATCTGTTGCCAAGGCTTGTCAATTTCACCTTTGCCACATCTCTCTAATATACCCCTCTTTAATATACCTCTAATATTCTCTCCTAATACTGCTACCACCCTAGTACAGGCCTTCATCTCCTCATGCTTGGACTATTGCAAAAGCCTGCTGATCGGTCTACCTGTCACAAGTCTCTCCAGTTAATTCTCCATTCAGCCACTAAAGTGATTTGCTAAAGTGTAGGTCTGACAGTTTGACATTCAAATTCCTTCATAACTTAGCTTGTCCCCTGACCACACATACCCCTTTCTAGTCTCCTTATACCTCACACCCCTTCATATATTCTTTGATCCAGTGACATTGGCCTCCTGTCTATTCTACCAACAAGACTCCATCTCTTAACTCCAGGCATTTTCACTGGTTGTCTCCTGTGCCTAGGATGCCTTCCCTCCTCACCTCTGCCTTCTAGCTTCCTTGGCTTTCTTCAAGTCCCAGGTAAAATCTCACCTCTCACTTCACAGGAAGTCTTTCCCAAACTCTTTTAATTGTAGTACCTTCCCTCTGTTGATTATTTTTTATTTCTCTTTTATGTAGCTTATTTTCATATAGATGTTTGTATATTGTCTCCTCCATTAGATTGTGAGCTCTTCGAGGTGTCATCCTTTGCCTTTCTTTGTATCCCCAGTGCCTACCACAGTGCCTAGCATATAGGAGCTTAACAAATACTTATTGGCTGACTGAAATGCATTGATTTTGTTGCATAGAAACTTTTCAATTTTATGTGATTAAAATTGGGTATTTTATTTTCTGTAGTCCACTCTGTCCCTTGTTTGGCCAAGAACTCTTCCTCTCTCCATATTTGTGAAAGATATCTTTTCTCCCTGTTCCTCTACTCTATTTATGACATGATCTTTTATGTCTAGGTCACTTATCTATTTGGAGCTTATTATAATATATGGTGTAAGTGATAATCTAAGCTTATTTTCTGCCAGACTGCTTTCTAACTCTTCCAACAATTTTTTAAAATCAAATAACAAGTCCTTCTTCCAGGAGTCAGACTCCTTCAATTTGTCACACCCTATGCTACTCTTGTCAATTGCTTCTGAGTCTTTACAGAGGTAGCTAGGTGACATAGTAAACAGAAGAAAGGGCCTGAAATCAGGAAGACCTGAGTCACTTAGTAGCTGTGTGACCCTGGCCAAGTCACTTAACCTGTTTGCCTCGGTTCCTCATCTGTAAAATGAGCTGGAGAAGGAAATGGCAACCCACTCCAGTATTTTTGCCAAGAAAGCCCCATATGGGTTCAAGAAGAGTTGGAGTGTATTGACAACAACAAAGAGTGTATTGACATAGCCAAAATCTGTGCTTTAGGGAAATGATTGGGCAATTGTGTGAGGATAGGTTGGAATGGGAAGAAGGTTGAGGCAGGATGACCATGTAGCAGACTTGAGGTGATGAGGGCCTGAACTAGGGTGTGATGGCTGTGAAAATGAAGGAATATATGTGAGAAATGTTGTGGCAATATTGATGATGAGACTTGGCGATTGATAAGATATTTGAGGTGAGTAAGAGGGAGGAGTTGAATTATATCAGTCGTTTAAACTTAGACCCTTAAAAGAATATCCATCAGCTGAGATAGCTGTGTGCTTAGCACAGTGCCTGGCCCATAGTAGGTACTTAATATAAATGCTCACAAGGACATTCGTGACCTTGACAATTCAGAGAATTTCAGAAGAGGAGTAGGTTTGAAGGGAAAGATGATGAACTCTGTTTAGTTTCTATTATGTTTGAGATAAGAGACAACCTCTCTTTAGTGGATAAAAAGCTATCCTTGAAGCCAGGCAGGCCTGGGTTCATGTTCTGCCACTTACACATACTGGCTGTGTGACCTTGGGCAAGTCATTTAACCCCTTAGAGCTATAGACAACCCTAATTCCGTTAATTGCAAAAAAGGAGCATATAAGCTCCTCAAGAGCAGGGACTATTTCACTTTTGTATTTGCATTTACTGCACATACTAAATCCTAATAGGCACATAGTAGGTAGTTAATAAATGCTTTTTGATTGACTTATAGAATGATAAAAAAATTGGAATTCAATTTAGAAATACATTTTTAAAAATAGAATAATTCTTTACTGTTATACAATCCTAGATATCATCCCTTCAATAAACATTAAGCACCCTCTGCATGTAGAATAATATGTTGGGTGGTAGAAGAGATAAACAGTTTAAATAAGACATGTTCCTGCCATTATGGAGCTTGTTTACAATTTAGTAGGGGATAAGAGTAGTATTCTTAGTTAAGGGAAGTAGTGAAAGTCTCTATCCATTCTGACCCATCCTCCATTTAGCCCTCAAGGTGATTTTCCTAAAGCTCAGGTCCGACATGTCACTCTCTTACTTAAACTCCACTGGCTTTCTATTGTCTCCAGGATCAAATACAAAATCTCAAAGCTCTTCTTAAAATGGCTCTCTCTTTCCAGTGTTTTCACACCTTATTCCCTATCACACACATACACTTTGGTTTTTTTGTTTGTTTGTTTTTTGGTGAGGCAGTTGGGGTTAAGTGACTTGTCCAGGGTCACACAGCTAGTGAGTGTGATGTGTCTGAGGCCGATTTGAACTCAGGTCCTCCTGACTCCAGGGCCAGTGCTCTATCCACTGCACCACCTAGCTGCCCCACTACATGTACACTTTGACTCAGTGACACAGGCCTACTGTCTGTTCCACGTACAAGACGCTGTATCTCCCAGTTTGGTCATTTTCTCTGGCTGTCCCTCATGCCTGGAATGCTTCCCCTCCTCATCTTTACCTACTGCCTTCCCTGGCTTTCTTTAAGTCCCACCTAAGATCCTACCTTCTACAAGAATCGCTTCCCGACCCCTCTTAATTCTAGTGCCTTCTCTTCCTTAGTGATTTCCTACGGGTCTTGTGTGTAGCTAGTTTGTACTTCTTGTTCGCTTGTCGTCTCCTCCAGTAGATAGTGAGCTCCTTGAGGACATGGAGTCTTTTGCTTATTTTTAAATCCCTAGTGCTGAGCACAATGCCTGGCACATAATAGGTGCTTAATAAATATTTATTGACTGACTGACTGAAACAAATTCAGTGATTTAGTCACTAAAAGAAGACCCTGTGTGTTGAAATCCTTGGCCATCTGTCCATTTTATATGACATTTATTATTGGAAAGTTTGATGATCAAATCTGTCTTCATTGAAAGCATAATATTCTGCAACTGCAAATGTATACAACTTTATCAATTAAAGATATGACTGATATGGAAGAAATCATATTTTCAAGTTGCCTATGCAAGTAGAATATTATTTCAGTTGGAAAAAGAAAACAGCTTTGTATAAAATGAAGTGAGTTAAAAATAAATTGCCTGAGTGAACTAATTCCACTGTTCAAGAATTACTGTCAACTAAAACTGACTTCATTTTTCTGAATTTAAAATATAATCTATGATGGGGGCGGGGGGAAGTGAGGAAATTAAGAGGGTAGTGTGAATATATATTGCCATCTAGTATGTCTACCATGGTGAATTTCCCATCTCTATTGAAGTCACAGATTTACTCCATGTGTTTCTAGGAAAGTGTTAGTAAAGAGAGCTATTTATTGCATATTTTCTGTCTCACATACTAAATCCTAATAATTCATTACAAAACTGTGAAGAGGTTTCATCTATTTTATTTATGTTTAATCTGTTATTTCACACTTCTCAAGCAGGCTTGTCACCTCCACTCACTAATGATTTCAAGAAATGACTCAAAAGCAACATGTCCTACAAAAGGTAAAACATTTTTGATATGTATACGTGAAGAAATTCAATCCTGTGCAGTCTCTTTCTGCTCCTGTAGAAGGTGTCAGAGTGCCAGAAAAGGGGGCAGGGGCTGCTAAGATTACACAGGTTTTAGACCATCTATAAATATTAACTTAGTTGTTGGTAAAATTAGTGACCTAGTGCTTAGCACAGTGCCTGCTAAGTATGCCCTTAATAAATGTTTGTTGGTTGAATGTTTATTTATTAACTAGGCAGATTTTCATAATCTCTTACAGTAGATCACTTATCTTTACCATCATCACAATTGAAAAGTGGACAGAATATAAGATCTCATTATGCTTATTGTTTGACGCTCATAAATAACCACTTGATTCAGCAGAGCAAAATACTACCTCCTCCAGTCAGATCTCTTCTAAGTATGTCAGAATTATACAAGACACCTTGAAAGATGTAACAAGAGAATATCTTGTTCAATAACATTGTTAATACCAGATAAAACATAAAAACAGGGAAACACACTTGCTGCAGGTAAGTTTGGCACCATTATGGCATTGATTAAGTACAAAGCCCAAGAAGAAGAGAGATTCCCTAAAAATGGTGAGATCCTCCAGATGTTCTTGTTTGCAGATGGCATTGTGCTGACTGAATCAAGGCCTAGAACACTACAGAGCATCCTCGAGGAGATTCATGGTCAATAAATAGAGTTTGGCCTATCTACACTGGAAAAACCAAGTGGATGAACAATGCCTTATTGTACAGACTATCCTATAAAGTTGGCAGGACCACACATAGAACTCATTCATCGTGTATGTAGAAGATAATCATATTTCATCAAATAGGTAATGGCTCATTATTGATATGAGTCATTCCTTCGTCAGCAGTCTGTGTAGCATCAGACCACTGACTTGTTAGAGCAAATAGCAGAGTTAATACAAAACTTTAAAAAAGAATAAAATATATATGACATGCAATTAAAACAACTCTAACCTGACATTTAGTTGTTTATATCTTATTGATGCCTTTTATCTTTGCACTATAGTCACTTTTTTTTTTGTTTAAAAGGCCAGATTTGGACAGAAGGAGAATAGATTAAACAGGAGAGCAATTGCCTTTGAGAAATTACAGTTTGGGGGGGTTTTTTAGCTCAGACTTCTCTGTGAAAGACTTGCCGTAGTGGATTTCAGAAAAACCTGGAAAGACTTACATGAACTGATGCTGAGTGAAGTGAGCAGAACCAAGAGAACATTGTACACAGTAACAGCAACATTTTACATCAGCTTTGATAGACTTAGCTCTTCTCAGCAATACAGTTATCTAAGATAATGCCAAAAGACTCATGGTGGAAAATCCACATTCAGAGAAAGAACTATAGAATCTGAATGCAGATTGAAGCGTACTATTTTCTCTTTTTTTTTCTTTCTCATGGTTTTTCCCTTTTGTTCTGATTCTTTCACAACATGACTAATGTGGAAATATGTTTAATATTATTGTACATGTATAGCCTACATCAGATTGCTTGCTGTCTTGGAATAGGGGGAGAGGAGGGAGGGAGGAAGAAAAAAATTTTGGAACTCAAAATGTTGAAAACTACCTTTCCCTGTATTTGGAAAAAAATAAAATACTATTAAGCAGGAAAAACAATAAAAATATAGTCATGGGGAAGAAACTTTAAAAAGGCAAAAAAAAAGACCTGCCTTTTAAATATAATTATCCTTATTACTGTATGGCTTTGAGTCATCAAACTCTACAGTCTCCAGAGAACAGAAACTGATAATCATCCAAAAGGCAGTAAAAAGGATGCATGGTGGGTGTAAAGAGGCTATAACACATTACAGACCATTGCAGACCATGAAGGAGAAGCAGAATTAAGGCTGCCATCAAGTAAATGTTTATGTGAAAAAGAAGATAGGTTGATCACATGGCAAAAGTGAAGAATAACTATGTGGGATGTTAAGGGAAAGTAAAAACAAGGCACCCAATATGTTGGGGGTAGCCTCCTGTAGAAAACTTATGGGTGGACAGGGACAAAACATCTCAACCTGGATGTCTAGTAGATATCTTAAATACCATATGTCCAAGACTAAACTTATCTTTCTCCCTAAATCCTCCTCATTTCCAAACTTTTCCCTCTTACTGTCAAGGATACCACCATCTTCCTAGTGCCTCAGGCTTTCAACTTCAATGTCATTCTTGACAACTCACTCTCAATTACCCCACATGTCCAGTCATTTATGAAACCTTGGTGTTTCTACCTTCACAACATCTCCCATATAGGTATCTTCCTACTCACACAGTCACAAACTAATCCAGGGCCTTGCCACCCCTTACCTGAAATAGCCTGCTGGTTGGTCTTCCTGCCTGAAGTCTCTGCCCACTTCAATAATCCCTTCTCTGTGCAACTGCCAAAATGACTTTCCTAAAGCACAGATCTGACCGTGTCAGCCTACTGCTTAATGAACTCCAGTTGCACTCACCACGAGGATTAAATACAAAGTCATTTATTTGGCATTTAAAATTCTTCCCCTCCATACACCTTATGACCTAACAATACTGGCCCACTTGCTTTTCCTCAAACACAGCACTCCATCTCTAATCTCTGTGGTTTGTACTGGTTGTCCCCCATGTCTGGAATGTTCTGCCTTCTCATTTCCTAGGATCATAGATTTAGAGTGAGAAGGGACTTTTACATGCCACTGAGTCCAGTTCCCTCATTTTACAGATGAGGAAACCAGTCACAGAGAGACTAAATGATTTGTCCATGATCACCCAGCTTTTAAGTGTCTGAGGTGGGACAGAGGCTACGATATTCATAGGTGGATGCAGTAGCCATATATGTGAAATCACTGATCCTTACCTGGTTTTCTTTAAGACATAATTCAAATGCCACCTTCTGCAACAGAACTTTTTCCTTTTCCCCCCAATTGCTAGAACCTTCCCCTCTAAGGTTACCTTCTACCTACTCTGTATATATCTTATTGGTAGCTAATTTTCCAGTTCATTTTACAGATGAAGAAGCTGAGGAAAACAGGGTTAAATGACTTATCCAAGGTTATTGATTGCCAAAATGAGCAAGCATGGATGGACTATGATCTAAATTATTAGGGAAGGAACATGTATTAATGATTTCACAAATACATGTGAGTAAATATTCTCCTATATGTACACATACACACATGTATTCATATATACATACATACATATGTGCCATTAAAGTTTTATACCAAAGCTTCATTGTGAGGTGGATCTAACCTAGGATCTCAGAAGTTCTGCCAGTGAAATGCCAACTGAGACAGGCCCTAAGCTGTTACAGATAATAGGCTAAGTATATTCTGTCATCCAAAGACCTGCCCAGCTAATTTTTCAGCTTCATCAGCATTTTTTTTTTACCTAGCGATGAATATTTTTGATCATAGTAATTTAGAAAGATTGTCTACTGAGGCACAGAGGGGCTACTATATTTATGGGCAGGTACAATAGCTATATATGTGAAATCACAGATTCTTAAAGTATTGAAATACAAGTATATACATATGTTAATATATGTTGATGGCTTTCTGTATGTAATATAGCAGTATATTATATCATAAAATCTAATTCAGCAACCTCATTTTGCTTTTTTAATAATAGATGTTTATTGATTTTAAAATTCTCTAGATTTCCTCCTGTCCCCTCCTAGAGAGGCATTCCTTATGACAAGGAATTTTGTTTAAGAGGAAGAGAGAAAGTCAGCAAAACTGATCAACACATCAAGAAAAAAACTAACATATGCCACACTATACATACGTGGATCTCACACACCCATTTCTTCAGCAGAGGTGGGGGGAGTGTCTTCTCATCAACCCTTTTGTTTGTTAAAACATTGTAAATGTTCTATAGAAAATTTAAATAGAGCTCGCTTCTAAGGTCCCTTCTGTCTCTAATCTATGTTCTCTCGATCAGCCTAGAAATCGAGTTCTCCCAATTTCTTCTTGAGTTTGTCGTTGTTGAGTCTTTCAAATCACTTCCAGTTCGTGACCCCATTTGGGGGTTTTCTGGGCCAAGATACTGGAGTTAAGTAGAGCCAATTTCCTGCCTTGGAAATTCCTGAGTAAAGTTGATTCCTTGTCTTGGAGGTTCAGGAGAAGCAGTCAGTCAATAAGCTATAGGTGTACTATGTGCTAGGCACTGTACTAAGTGCTGGGAACTTAAAGAGAAGTAAAACCAGTCAGTGCCATTAAGGGCTTACATTCTAAGAGGGGAGACGACATGTAAACAACTAGATAAATACAAAATTCATACAGAGTGGATGGAAAGCAATTCGAGAGAGGAAGGCATTAGTAGCTGGTAGGGGCGAGGAAAAGAGGAGCTCAGTCTTGAAGAAAGGGAGAGAAACTAAGAATGAAATAATGAATAAAGATGGGAGGTGGTTGTGTAGGAGGAACTTCAAGTAAGCCAGTATAGCTACACCATAAAGTATGTGGAAGGAAATAAAGTATAAGAAGACTGGAGAAATAGGAAGGGGCTAGGTTAATGAAGAACTTTAAATGCCAGACAAAGAAATCTATATTTGATCCGAGAGAGAGTAGGGAAGCAAAATGAAGCTCACTGATCAAGTTGATGACTTGCTTTAGAAAAATCACTTTGGTAGCTTTGTGGAAGACACGATTAGAGTAGATGGAGGGTGGATTAAAGTTGGGAGAAACTTAAATGAGACCATTTAAAAGGCTATTGCGGTACTCCGGGCAAAGGGCAATGAGGACCTGGACTGAGTGAGGGCAGAGAAGGCGTCTACCGTTGAGATCTTGTGAAAGAGGAAACAAGATTTGACAAGAGACTGCATATGCAGGGTGAGTGACTGTGAGAAGCTGAGGATGACATTGAGGTTGAGAGCCTGGGCAGCTGAGAGGGCAGGAGTACCTTCAAAGGTGATAAGGAAGTCTGACCGAGGGGAAGGTTTGGGAGGGAAAATGAGCTCTCTTCTGGACATGTTGAGAACAGCCAGAGTAGCTGCTGCCAGCGCTGCCACTGTCTCTGTTATGTTTGTAGCTTCTCCATGTTCTCTGAATTATTCAGATTACACAATAATAGGTGTAGTAGCATCTGCTTCTCCTTAAAAGAGCCATCCCTGGGTCCGTCTCTAAACTTCTGTTTTAACCAAAACGTAAGGTGCTCAAACCAAAAGAGCAGTCCTGGCTGGAGAGCCCACGGAAGTGAGGGAAAGCTTGCCACTCGTCTAACTGCCTCCCTAGCTCTTGTGGTACCCATTCTGGTTTACTGAAACCTTAGAATGGCCAGTCTTTCAGTACATTTCCAGCCATCTTCCATATCTTTATATGGGTTAATTGTGTTAACAAGCCAAGTCAGCTAATTTAAAGTCACCCTACCAAGATTGTTAATTTTAATGTCAAGTACAGAAATTATATCTGTTAAGGTATGAAAATCTTAAAGGGTTCTCCAGAGTAAGTGTAGTTAGGGACAATATAAACTAATATGTATAATAAGAAAGGGTGTGTATAGTAAAATAAATCATGTCAACAGAGGGGACTTTGCTCTAGGTTGGACTTTAACTAAAAGCTGGCCAGAGAGAGTTATAATCCTGTTTTACTGTACATAATGCATAATAGAATAAGGTGAGTAAAGTTTATTTAATAATAGGCAATATGGCATAGAGTAAATATCATTGGCCTTAAAATTCAGAGACTTGGGTTCAAAAGTCTATCACTTACCAGGTGTAAGAATAGTCACTTGAACTCTCCAAATTTCAATTTCCCCAATAAAATGGGTATAATACTATTCACACTACAAACTTTGTAGGGTTTATTGCAAAGAAAGAACTCACTGTATAAACCTTAAGGCTATCTAAATGTGAATTACCATTAATTAATCTAAATGACAGTACTATTCAGCAGTAATTTGGATTTGTTGATTAAATGTGGGTGGCAAGCATATTTTTCCATACCCAACTGTTATGTGCTTATATGTCTGTAGCAGATATTTAGATTAGATTCTAGAAACTCAAGGTATTTGGACCCCTAAATATGAGTCCTATTCACATGAATCATATGGGTTCTGGAAAGGGTGTCGAAAGAAGCTTTTCTTCCCTTTGCACCTCTGAAGGGACATGTTGTTCCATATTTCAAAGAAAAAAAAAGGGAGGGCTAGTGTGAATAGCTCTTACAAGACTGTTAGTGGCATTGTAAAGGGTGCAATCTAGCTTTTTTCCATGTTGTGATATACAGGGGAAAAAAAATCTTTACAGAAGTAGATACTAGGCAAACAGAATCTGTCTATGAAGCTTAATCTAGAGAACAACAAAATTGACTAATTTCCACATAAATTTTAAAAGATGGAAATATTTAAGAGTCTAATCCACCTCTAAATAGGAAAAGGAAATGGATATTCATATGATTAAAGAATAACATTGTCTCTGATGTAGTCAGCAGGTTGGAAAATAGTCTTTTATCTCCATAAATGGGTGAAGTGGTTCTTCATGATTCCATATCTATCCACAGCCCGAGTCACAGAGATCCAAGAGATGGCCTGAGGCATGTTAGAGATCAAACCAATAAGTAGGCAGAATAGGAAAGCAATCAGAGAGGTATGATTTCTGGGATTCCAAAAGCCTTGTCCACCCAGTTAACTGAAGCCTAAAATTTAACAAAAGACAAAGCTTTAATTCCTTAATGGCAGATGAGAATTAAAATTCAAATAGCCCAGGGGAAAAAACCACAATCTTTTAAAATCACATTAGTGACTGATATCCTCAGAGCCTTTCCTGAGAGTGGAGTCCAGTCAACCAGTATTTATTAAGACCTGTTATGTACTGGACACCATGCTAAGTGCTAGGGATACAAAGAAAGGCAAAAACAGCCCCTGCTCTCAAGGAGCTCGCATGGGGGAGTTCTAAATCTCAAAAGTAAGTTTTGAGAAAAATCAGTATGAGGTTACTGAGTGCCTGAAGTAGAGGAGGGGTAAAGCAATCACAAAGAAGGAGAGAAAAAAAGTACCAGAAGTAGTGTGATTACAAGGGTCTTCCATTGCCTACAGATGAAAACATGAAAAGTTTTTATTATTAATTAGTATTAATTATATCTGCTTGATCTCAGGGTACAAGGTATCATTGTAGGAAGAATAATAGTATCTCCTTCTTCGGAGAATTCAGATTCTAGATATCAATAATTGACACTGTTATACTTAAAAAAAAAAGGTTAGGACCAGTAGGAATAAAAAAGAAATTTAGAATGGTTAATTGTTTTCATGATTCAGTTCTCAAAATTCACAAGTTCACATTTTTTGGACAGTATATCTTTGATAGCACCAAAAGAGAGAACCAAACACTGCTCCCTAATATATCTGGTCAGGGTAAATTTCCATGGCACCCTTCTATTTTGCCCTTTGAAATGCATAAATATTTTTTCCATACCTCAATTCAAACATTTAAAAAATGCTCTCCATGTGAATGTATGAGGACATATCTATTCAATGACTTCTGAGGAGCAATGTTATCCCTAAATCCCATCTCTTTTCCTGTCTGCTTGTAGGTCTATGAGCCTATGGGCCCTGGGATAATATGTAAACACATCATCACTGCACCAAAGAAAAATGAAAGTAAAAAGAAGAATGGAAGAGGAGCCCTCATGATGGGGTGATGGGACCTGAACCCCTAAAAGGAAAATACCATGTCTTTGAAAGCAGCCCAGTCCCTGAATTTTCCCACTTATTTCAGCAGCCCAGATTCCTGGTGTCTCGCCCAAGGCATCGAGCCCATCCCAGCCCACCTAGATACTTAATAGTCTTTTCACAGTGGCTCTTGACCACTGGGCCACCCTAAACTATTTACCACTCCTTAATCCCATCCAGATCTTTTCACTGTTCTTTTTTTGTACAATATCAATCTCACCCCCATCAAGTTGCAGATTCACTAAGAATCTAGCCCACTCCTATTGACATTACAATAAACCTTGCTATTCTGACTGAAAGAGGGCTTGAGTGCTTGAACTCTTTCTAGCAGACCCCCCTGTACCCGGCCTTTTTGGGATTCCCAGCAACCCCAAACCACATCACTAGTACGCTTCCAAACGCGGGGAAAGATATTGACATGTTAAGGTGAAGGAAGATAGCAAGTGGGGAATATGTTTTTCTTTTGTAACTGACATATTGCCCTAACCCGCAGCAGCTGCCAAGATGTAGGAGGAAGAGCGGGGCACCTAGCATTGGCTACATCATACCAAATAGCCAAGCCCTTTCTGTGGTTCTGTTTGCTGGCTCAGCACTCCTTGCAGTGTATATCAGGGAAACATGATGCGATCACATGGTAGGGAGAGGGTAGAAAGAGAAAGTGAGTAAAGATTAATAGTCCTTGTTGGTGGAATGAAGGAAAGTGATATGAATTAAGGTTGGAAAGGTAAGCCAGGCCATGGAGGGTCACAAATGCCTTAGAAAGTAGTTTGAATAAAATTGTAAAATATTTTTCATGTACTTATTATTTTGCAAGACTGTAACCTTGTCATTGGGGATAAAAAGATAAATAAACAACATAGTCACCATGCTCAAGTTGCTTCCAACTTCCTGGGTTGAGAGGAATAGAAAGTGAACACAAAATAAATATGATACCAAGTAAAATGTGATAAAGGCAAAAGAGAGAGCCACAATATTTTAGGAAAGTTTGAGGTGGGAGAGATTACTTTCAGCTGGAGAAGATGACTAAGGTAGATTTCATGAAGGAGATGGCAACACCAGAACTTGGCCTTGGAGGAAGAGGTGGGGATGAAGAAGGAATGCCTTCCAGTCATGGGAGCAGT